TAGGCTTTTACAATTTCTAAAGCCCTGATCCGTAGCCCAACAATGAAATGGTGCTATGTAATAGATGGGTAGGTGTCCTTGTCTTCCTGGAGCTTACATTCCATTCCCAGATTAGTATGATACAAGTCATTTCAGATTCTAGTTTCTTTACACTGACTTTGGGAAATAAAAAAAATGTTTGATTTAATATTTTTCAGTTCACTGCTTTTATTCCAAGAACAGTTTTTTTTTTCACTCCAATTCTCTGACCTTACCAGTGTCATGGAACAGAGATAATTTGTAGGCACCCACAGGATGAAACACATGGTTTCCTTCTTTTGGTGAATATATAATAATGCTTTTTAAAAATCTATTTTTAGATACAATCTCCTTATTTGTGCAAACAAATTTTATATATAATGTTTTAAAGAAAAGAATAACTAAGGCATCTAAGTAAGAAGTTTTGTCTTCATATTTCAAATGGTTCATAAAAACATTTAGCTCATAAAAGGAGCCACAGAGCTCCCTAATTACTATCAAATGTTATCTCTTAAGCCAGCAACACAGGGCAAATGCTTTAAGATATAAGACAGAATAAATATAGTAGGGAAAGCCTGCACATTCAAAAAGAGATCAACTGGTCAACAGATGTATAGTAACTACCTGCTACATGTAAGACAATATTCTAGGGATTGGGGTACACAAGGGATACCTAATCTTTGTCCTCAAAGAACTTATGTTCTAGGGGAGACAGAAAATAAATGTGGAACCAAAAATAAATTAGGAGGATAATGTTAGGCCCTGATCAGTGCAGGATTTAGTAACTGGGCTGATGTGTGTGCCCTTTGCTGAGACAGGCTTGGGGGAGAGAGGATTTAGTAGAAGCAGGGGTAATGTGGGGAGCAAGTGTTCTGCTCTGGGCCAAGCTAAGTTTTGGATCCCTTTCAACTGCTCCACAGAAATGCTGAGAAGGTCATTATGCGCATGAACCTGGGACTCCAGGAAGATGTCAGGGCTGCAGATGAAAATTTGAGAGCCTTCCTGTATGTATGGTATAAAGAGAGGAGACCGCATCCAGTTCCTAAACAAGGAGTAGCTAGGAAGACAAAAGGCTTGGGGATGGAACTCTAGACACTGCAAAATTTAGGGGAGAGAAGGGACAGTGCATAAAAAGCTAAAAAGAAGGGTGGTTTAGGAGGAAAACACCGTAGGGACGTATTCTTTCCCAAATTTCCTTCCCAACAGACCCTTGTGAAGTCCTGTGCTCTTTGTCCCCTTGACAGCTTGCCTGACACAGCCCTCGTGTCTGTTCCACCCTCTGCGGCTTCAGTTCACCACGTCCAGATCTCCTTCTGGCCTGTTTCCACCTTGATGGACATTCTTACAAACTTCCAGGTCCTCCTGTGATTTGGGATCTACGTCTAAGAGAGTCAGATCTGTGAGCTCAAGATACCTGTGGGTATTTTGTGAGGGCCAGAATCATGGACTTTCAAGCACAGGATGGGAAGAACAAATAAAAACATTGCCTATGAGAAACAAAAATTCTCTGGCTATATTCATTCATTTGCCATCCAACTGGTTGTCCTTGTGTGTACTTTGGGGCAAGTATGGGCTGTGGTTTTAACCTTTGGGTCTGCTCTGCATCTGGAGGGGGAGGTGATGTTTCATGGGTGAAAGGCCATAGATCTCTGGCAGAAAGATCTTGAACAAGATGTCTTATGATATAAATAAGTATACTTATTTATCCATATTTGTCTCCCTCTCCAAGACAGTCTCTCATAAGGTAGGAGTCATATGTTAATAATAATAATAATAATAATATTAATAATAATAATAAAACTAACATTAACTGAGGATTATTCTTGTGCTAGGCAATGAAGAGTTCTATTTTATCCTCAAAACAAACTGATGAGGCTGATGGTATTATTGTCTCCGTTCTTCAGATGAGTAAACTAAGGCTTTTAAAGTTGAACACATTTCCAAGATCACACAGCAAGGGTATCCAAATTACAAATTGAACTTTGATTCATTTGACTGCAAACTTCGGGGTGATTTAAACACTGGCTTAGACATATAGGCTTAGAGTCAAACAAACCTGGGGATCCTGTTAAAGGCACACATTCTGATTCAGCAAGTCTAAAGTGGGGCACACGATTCTGCATTTCTATGCCAGTCCCTGGTGACGCTGCCTGCTCCTGGGCTGCTCTGTGGGCAGCCAGAATCTAGGCATCTGAGCTACAGTCCCCACCATGACATGTCTGCCATTCTGTGCTTGTCCAGAAAATGTCTAAGAGTGAACACAGGAAAATGGGACAATAGAGAAGTCTGCCTTCCTGCTTAGGAAAACCCAGATCTGAAGGGGCGATATCTGACCTCTGTATTTCTTTTTTCCCAAGTAAAGGAGAGATTTCAGTTCTCTTGTTTTGTGATTGAGTCTTTACACAAGGCTGAGTGAAATACATTTCTATCACATTTTGGCTAAAACTTAAATCTAGAAATGAAAGAGATCCTGAACTGAGTCGCAGGTCTCCCAGTTTGTCCCTCTGTGTGTAAGATCAGGGGGGAACAAAAATTACATTTTGTGGATGTGCATGGTGTTTTTTTTTGTTTTTTTCCCTGCACTATTTTTTCTCCCCACTAAACCTGAGTCCTGATGTGACTCACAACATAGGCTGAGGTCTCTCAGCTTTGCAAAGGGAGGAATAGAAAGCACAGGTCTTTTCAGTGATTTACCCAGGGTCACACAGGGGTCAGGGGTGAAAGAAGGAAGCAGACGCCTGCCTTCTGACTCCTGGCCCACAACGTTATCACCCTGACCATACTGTTCTCTCTGCGTGGCATGCACTCTTTGTCAAGGAAACACAATGCTGATCAAAGACATGGAATTAACAACCTTAAAAACCTGACAAAAAAATTTCTGAAGAATAAGTAATAATAAAACTCTCCTCCACTGCTCCCATGAATTCAGGTGCATGCTCGGTTCTCTACCATGGCTCTGTGGCTGGTCTTCAAGGTGACCTTGGCGTTCACCTGCGCACAGATCCATGGATAGGAATTGTGCCCATCTACTAGCCGTGGAGGTTAAAAGAGGCAATACAGACAAATACCAGACACGTGACACATCATTCAAGATGACATTCCCCCTGAGCTGCAGATGTGTGTCTGACCCTCTAAAAATGGACCAGCTTCACTAAAAATGGACCAATGTCAAAATGGACTTGGACTCTGTCATGCTCTATGTTCAGACCCTCTCTTTTATTTCTCATTTGCCCTTGCTTTTCTGTCTCTGTATCTAATATTGGGTTTTTATTTTATATATGTAATGCATATTATACATATATACATATATTATATGTAGTAACTTACCTGTGTACTTGGCATGTCAATTGACTTAACTCTTCTTAACTCTAACTACTCCAATGACGTCTGAGTTTCCTCCCAAGTTACTCCTGTTATGAGCATCTACACAGTTTTGTTCTGGGCCCACAGTCTCACTTCATAATGGGCTCAAGACAGGATTGTTAAATAAGGGAGCTGGAGGTTGGTGCATTGAAATCAGTCTTAATGTAGCACTTTTCCTATTTGTCCCTCTTTCTTGATTGTTTTCTGGCGTTATTCATGAGTAGATGGGTTTGAAGCTCTATGATTGGGGTGGAAATTGAGGGAGCAGCTCTCCTTCCCCAGGCCACAAGGTCAGAGCTTCAACATACTAATTGTTACACAGGCCATCCAGGGGCAGGTGCAGCTGGAGATCGAGAGCAAAACCAAGCCAAGGAAGGCAATCAAGGGTCACAGCAGGTTTGCCAAGCCCACTGCCAGGTTCATGGAACCAGAAGCAAAATATTAGGAGTCAGCTAAACATAGGCACTAAGCAGGGGACATGAATGAAAGTGAATTCAAGGCAAAAACACTTTTGACCTCATGTGCACAATGCTGGGAGGCCTGAACTCCCTAACACAGGGGCTGGCTAGTCAGAAGCACAGCATCTCATCTCAGTGCCAGATCAGCCTTCTCCACTAGGTCGTAAACACTTGAGAGGAGAGGGGAACCCGTTATAATTATTTTGTGTCTTGCCACATAAATTGCAAAGTTCTTAGAACACAGAGTGCTTAATGTAGCTGCATTTTGTTCTCTCTCTCTCTCATATATATATCCTGTTTCATCTATGAAACCTCTTCTTCTTTTGAGTAAAGATTACAAATCATGGCCCTAAAGAGACATGGTCTCTATCAGTTAACAGTCTAAGATTGATTACAGGCAATAATGTGTGTTCTCTAGGATCCACCTTCCTGGGTTTGAATCTAGCCCTGCCATTTGCTGAGTGTGTGTGTGTGTGTGTAAATGGCAAAGCCATTTCTTCATCTGATGTTAAAGCTTGAAGTTTACAGGGAGCTCAGGCAGAAGGAAAGATCATGAGCCAGCAAGAACCTGCAACTGAGACGGAATTCTGCAGAATGAACTGAAACGTTTGTCCATTCTTATTGCCTCTCAACTGGGTTATAACAGGGTGTTCTGCAGAAAGCAGGGCCATTCATCACAGAGGAGAATATACAGCTGGCCTAGGAGTCAGAACTGCTGAAGGAGGGATTGAAGGGAAGGTGGATACATTGCAGAACAGCTGCTGCTTTGTGCCAATGCTGTGAATCAGCAGGTTGGTAACAACTAGTAGGAGCCACAGAATGAATGCTGCTTCTCTTCTGCCTTCCAGAACATCCCAGGAATCTTCCTTGTGGTTGACCCTAACTGGAAACACACAGGAGAGGGAATCCTGGGAAATGTAGTTCAGTCTAGCTGATTCACAAATGATAACGTCATCCCAATGACAGACCGAATGGTTGTAGCTAATTTAGCAATATGTCAAGCCAAGTTAAAATCGTTCTTACCTGTAGTTGAAATGATCAGTGGACAGCAAATTGAATTAGAATTAGAAGACAAAGTTTAGACTGTGAAGATTTCTAACACTTTAATGTAGGGGTCATGAGGCCAAAGAATTATCTTGTATTTATTTTCATTTCTTCTAGCCTGAAGGAAAATTAAACCCAAGTTTCCAGAGCAGCCCAGAGACTGTGCGATTGTTCAATGAAGCTGGGAAAAACCCAGGTGCTGCTAACTTTCTACTGTACCATCTAAAGAACATAGTTCTCATCATTAGGATTACAAGGCTGCTGTTGTGCCTCCAGCCACTGATGCCATATGCCAATCAGAAAGGAGGAGGAAGTAATAAAGAAAAAGGAAGTGGCTCTGGTTGGGGAAAAAAGGCTTTCCCAGATTTCAGCAGACTACAACTTGTGTTTCATTGGTCTGAAAAGTAGGGAACATCTACCTTTAGCAGCTAGGAAGGCTGTGAATCAAACTTTTGAGGGCTTTCTTATCATGGACATGCTCCTGCTTGAAAAATCAAACAGTATTAGTATAGGGAAGAAGGGGGAGAGGTGGAGATTCACTGCCAGAGGGAAAAGACTGGTGTGGGGGTTGCGGGGGAAACAACAGAGAGATTAGGTAGGAAATTTCTGAATAAAAAAGAATCTGGAAACTTGGCACATGGTTATTAATGGTTGGACATGGTTGGAAATGGTGATATCAGGATGCATGTTGAAGGGAAGGCATTCAGGATTTGCAGACAGGTTTTATGTGGGGTCATATGGAAAAAATAGAATTCCATGAACCATCTTTGATGTAGTAGAAAGTTTGGATGTTGAGCTGCCTGGACCTAGTGACAATGTCACAGGACTCAGAATTCCGTGCTTCACTCGTATCTTCTCAGTGACGCGACTGGACCCAAGGAAGGCCTGAAGAAAGCAAGGGATGGCCAGCTGATGGACTGGTCAGTTGAACGCTAACAACTGGAAAAATGGGGCCAGCACCAGGTGAGCATCTTGGCTGTGCAATGGAAAGAGAGTGATGTGAAACTACAAAGTGGGAGAAACAGGTTTGAGGGTGTCGTGGACACCCAGGTCTTGCCGTGTGTGCCTGCAAATGACCTAACTTCTCTGAGCCTCAGCTTCTTTCCATCTAAAACAGGGATTGGTGTCTTTACCATTTTAGGGTTGTTATGAGAACTACTTGGGATCTTACAGAAGAATGATTTAGCATGCTCCCATGGCCCCTACCCTGGAAGTACCCTTGTATGTGAAGCCTCAGGCAACTGTGATACCAGATTTAAACAGTGCTGTAGAGACAGTACAATGTTTGCATCTGATGGATATAGTTTCCAAGGCTGCTTCTTATCATCAGGGTGACTTGGGTGACTTAACTTCTCCCAACCACAGACTGACAAACGCAAAGCAGATAATGACACTGACGCCATAGCTATACTGAGAAGCTGACTGAGAGCTTCCTGGGAGAATTAAGTCAACCTGAACAAAATATAACACATGAAATTTGTAGCCCAAGATCTGGCGTATGTCAAGTTCATGTTTGAGGTTCATTCTCCTCCATCAAGGTAAATAGGGAGACATAAGTAAAGGTATAAGCATAGATTTAGCTTCAAGTTTTTGGGTTTTGAGTTTGCGATGCTGAGTTCTTAACCCAGGCCTGGTCGGCACATTTTTGCTAATCCTGTTTCACCTGGGTTTTCTTTGAGTAATCCTAGTTCTCACGTTGGAACCCCTCTTTCCTATCACTTTAGCTCATTAGAATTAGGGGATCTGGAGAATAATCCATTATGTGATGCTCTCCACAGCACCCCACAAATATGGCAAGTCCTGGAAAGGAAGGGATGGATTTCCCTTGAGCCAAATTTCAGTGGTGGAATAACGAGTCATGAAAATGGAAACCTGTGTTTTTAAATGACACACAAGGGACTCCTCCCTGTTCAACCTGCTTCCCATTTAGGGCTGTCAGCACGAATCAGAAGTGAGGTGGCTGTGAAGGCACTAGGCTGGCTTTGGCGTCTGACGGGAAGGCTGTCAGGCACCTCAGTCGTGCCTTCCATTTAGAAAGCCTCCTGTCAGCAGACTAATCACAGAGCTTTTTCCTTGTGACTAATGGGTAGTTTTCTTTAATCTCCAGAAACCGCTGATCAATTAACTGCCATTTAGGCCAATCAAGGTAATTGAGATATGGAGTTTAATTAGCTTTCTGATGGTTACACACACAGTATCAGTCAGCAGAGAATCCTGAAGTGGAACTCAGGGCAGAACTGGTTGGCAAGGTGACATCCAGGCTATCCTATAGGCACTAGGAGATGAGGTGCTTGCTGCCCATCACTGGAAAACCAGAGGGTCTGCTGTGGCTTTTTAAAAGCAACCAACTTTTTTGAACAATTAATTTTCTTTGTGTTGTTGTTCTTAAGGCACATTTCACTCCATCCATATTTGTCTATAGCTCAGTAAATAGTCTCATCAGCCCTCCACTTAACCTGACTGAGCAACTGTGAGGAATTTACAGTTCAGCAGGTGTGACAATTTGATGGTGAAGATTTAGCCATGAAGATTTTAGCCAGAGCCAAGCACACCTGAGGGTCGACTGACCATTATTATTATTGTTATCTGTCCCTAAATTCTATCAGTGCAAACTCATCAGTACTACTGAATTAATTTCTTTTTCCTCTGTCTCTCTTATTCTGGCTGTCTGTTAATATAGTGCCTTGATGATGTTACGTCATGGTCATGTGTATCCCTGCCCTGCCTTCCCAGTGCCCTCCAAATCATCTGTTCTTTGACATCTCTTTTCTAGAGTTCTTTGGGGCTCTGACAAACTCCTGACTCAATTTATTTGCATACAGTTTGCTTTTCTGTGACAAGGGATGACTCACTCACTGATGCTGGGCCATGTTTCTTGGACAGTCTAAGCATGGGATGCCTTTGTTTCTCCAGGTGTGGCATCGCAGAAATCCTGGGGTAGCTTGCTGGCCTTGATGGCTTTGGTTGGTGTATAAGTTTCTTATTGCTACTGTAACAAATTGCCATACATTTAATGGTTTATAACAACACACATTTATTATTTTCCTTCTTTTTTCTCTCCCTCCCTGCCAAACTTCCTTTCTTCCTCAGAGATATGATAGACAAAGAATTACAGTCTAGATAGGGATTATAGACCAAAGTTATTTATAGAAACTGTATAATTTCAAAGATTGAATAGCATGTGTTATTTCAACAGAATCTTGTGAGTTTCCATGAGGGGGTTTATGTTATTATCTTCATTTGCAGATGAGGAAGCTAAAGCCCCACAATTTGAAGAAAGTCATGTACTCATTCCACGCAATCTCAGTCCAGATCTTTCAGCCGCCATCCTCTTTCGCAGTAGGCCACCCCATCTCCCTCATCCCCATTCCATCCATGATGTAGTTTCCTTCTGAACTTTCCAGTGTATTACCATATACTTCTAAAAGCTTACTTAGAAGCTCTTTGTTTTTGCCTGGAAGATGAACAAGTAAAATGTACTTTCTTGAAACTGTTATGGATGGAATTTCTATAACCAGGGTCATAGGCTGGTGCTATTTATTACTGAAGGTGCATGATTGCTTTCTTTTTCAGCAAAAATAAATGGAGCAGATGGAAAGCGAATGGTCTGGGGTCCATGAGAGTTCACACTCTCAACCCTGGGTGCCCAACTACCAACCTACAAGCCAAAGGAGAATCGCTTGGACGGAACTCAGGCTTCACCTGCAATTCTTCTTACATTAAACATTCTTCTTAATTAGCCAGCCAACATGAACTCAGAGGCCAGCAGGATTTAACTACCTGCCAAGATGCCACGTCTCCCTGACACCTCAGACAGGAGGCCATGGATCAATGAGTAATTGTCACTGAAGCTGAATGCTTCATTTGGGACTGCTGAAAATGACTTTCATTGAAAGAAAAGACCTGAAACAGGAGCTCTAACAAGGATACTGACAAGAGGGAGGCAGGGTGGTACAGGAGAAAGAGGACAGGCTCTGTTTAGAAGTAGACAGCTCATGGCTTTGGTCCTATCACAGCATCTTCTGAGTACTGGGCCACAGATCATTCTTTTTGCCTGAATTTCCCAAGCTTTGTGCCATGTAATCCCACTTCTTTGGTTATAGCTGATGATGGTGTGGGGCAGTTTCCTTGCCTCAGGTTACCATGCATATGCACTTTTGAGGGCACTTTGAAACAGACTGTTCACTTCACATTGGATGGGGACAAACATACTCATTTACACACCATTTATTCGAGCATAAGAACTGAAAGGCAGTGAAGCATACAGCTGACATCCATTCACACCGATTCTGCTATTCTCATACTTCTAGCATCTCTTTGCTTTTCTTCACATGCAGCTCGTAATCTCATTTTAAGTTCAGTGAAAAGGCACAAACACTTAGCAGATTTAAATAAACTCTTGAACAAATTGCCTCCACTTTTATACCCAGTGACCACCATCCATACCCGTAAATTCTACTTTCACCCCTGCTAATTTCTAGAGGTAAATTGCCCATGTTCCTCTCTAGGGCTACTTGTGCCCCAGGCCCCATCTCTTCATGCCTTTCCAATGACATCACCCCATTGGTTTTTCCCTCTATTCTGGAATATTATCATCAAGGTAAAAGCACTGTTGTTTTACCGTCTTCAAAAAAAATCCCTCCTGACTGCACTTCCTCCTTCAGCTATCACATTCCTCCCTTCCTCTTTGTAGGAAAACTTCTTAAAGGGACGCATGTACTCAGTGTTTCCAATCCCTCCCCTCCCACTATTTCTTGAATGACCTCCATTTAGACGGTCATCCTTACAGTCCACCTACACTCCATGAGGTCGCCAGTGACTTCCATGATGCTAAATTCTATGATCTATTCTCATTTGCCCTGCCAGCCAGATTGGTACAGTTAATCACCTTCTCCTCCTTGAAATACTTCCTTCATTAGATTCCAAGAATTCACACTTCCTTGATGCCCCTCCCTTCTCCACGGTTCTCTTCTCCTTGATCTTTGCTGTTTCTTTCTCTATTCCTGACATTGGAGCAACACAGTTCTCGGTCCCCAGTTCCTTTCACTTCTCCATCTGTGGTCACTCCCTTGTTGCAGCCAGTCTAACTGAAGCAGGGCAGAGACATGGGACAAGCATCATGATTGATTTTTCCTGCCTATGATGAAAAATGCTGAGATTTAAACAGTATAGTATGAACAGGAGGGACCCCATCTTAAAGCTATAATTCCACTTAGAAAGGAGAGAGTTGAGGAATAAAAGTCTTAACATATTCTTTAGCAAACAGACAATAACTCAGCCTATCTTGGGGGCAGGGAAGGTGGTCTTGATTGATATGTTCCTAGAGGGAAGCTGCTATCCTAGGGAGGAATCGGATCTTAAATTTTTTGTGTTAAGTTAATTTTTCAAAATTAGCTGGAGGACTGAAAGCAGAGGAGAGGAGACATGGTGTCTGTCACCATAGATAAGCATCTTGAGACAACAAGTCAAGCCTACATCCAAAACATCCCCTCTCCCCTTTGCCCCATTCTTAAAAGCCTTAAAAGACAGAGTCCCCCAACTTTCAGTGCACATCCTCTCTGAGACACCCGCACTTTCCTTTCTTTAAGTGTGTACTTTCAAATAAAGCTTTCCCACTGGTCAAATTATTGCAGTTTTGTCTCTTTGCTATTTCATTTTATTTCCACGTCTTCACTCTGTCTCAGCTATACTCTTAATAAGTAGGCAGGGGCTACTAGGAACTCAGATTTGGGCCTGCATGTTTCCCTCACCTGGGTGACCCAGATGACACTGCAGCTGTGCAATCTACTCTTAATTGCCTGCCTGAAAATCTCCTTCCTTTGGGAAGTTTTCAAAACATAATCTTACTCCATCCTGTGTTCCGTGGCTCCCCCAAATCCTGGAGTGATTGGGGCTGGTCCCCCCACTGTGCAGATCCAAGTGGACACAGGACACCAGGTGAACCCGGCTCCAGGAGTTGGCAAGGGAATCTGCCCTAGGCCGAGAACTGTCCCTTTTTCCCTCCGCACTTTCCTGCTCTCTGGTGCCTGCAAGGCAGCTGCCATTCCCTGCTGCTCTTGCTTTAATGAACTCCTTCCTTACCTACACTCACCTGACCTGTATGAGAACTCTTTCTCACCCAGAGTCAAGAACCCTCCCACGCTCAGGTGGGGGCTTCTCCTAGTGCCTCACCTAGTGAGCAGGGAGGGACCTCCCAGATGCAGCTGCCTGGAAACAATGATGTTTAAGCTCACCTATGTGTTGAAGCATCCAACCTTAGGCTTCCTCACCTCTTCCCTGAACTTTAAATTCTTGTGTCCAACTGTCTGCTGGTCATCTCCCCTTGCATGTAAATGGATATATGAAACCTAACAAGTCAAAAACTGAACTCCTAATCTCCCCCAACCCCAACTTGATAGCCTAGCAATCTTATTCAGCTCAGACAATGGAATCTCAATCTTCCCAGAGGCTCAGGCTGAACAACAAACAAACAATAAGCTCTTAGTGTCGTACTCATCTCCCTTCTTTCTGTCATGTCACATATTCTACTCAGTTCATCTGGAAATCCTTAGTCCTTCTTTCAAAATTATATAACCAGAATTTGACTCCTCACCATTTTTACCATTCGCCAGGCCCAGCCCACCTTTAGTTCCTGCTTTAGTTATGGCAATAGCTTCTGAACTGACCTTTCTGTTTCCATCTTCACCCTCCTACCATCTGTGCCCAACACAGCAGCTAGAGTGATCTTGTTACAAAATAAGTCTGATCAAGCCATGTCTCTGCTTTAAAAACCCACCTTAAATGGCCTTTAAGGCCCAGCATGATCTGGCTATTGTCAAGTCCCTGACCTCACCGCACTACCCTCCCTGGCTTATTCCTCCCTCTGCTCCTTGAACATGACAAGCCTGCTCTGGCCTCTGTGACTTAGTACTTTTGTTCTCACTGCCTAGAGGATTGATGGACACCTTATCTCCTTTGTAAATCTTTTCTGAAATGTCACCTTCTGAAATCGAGGACCTCCCATGAACACCCTATGTGAAATCACATAACCCATCACTTCTCTCTCTGTTGAATGAGTTTTGTCCATAGAAATCATCACCTTTTAGTATACTATATGATTCGTTTATGTATTTGTTTGGGTCTACCTTCTAATCTGGACTATAAATTCTTTAAGTGTGTACTTTCAAATAAAGCTTTCCCACTGGTGAAATTATTGCAGTTTGGTCTCTTTGCTATTTCATTTTATTTCCAAGTCTTCACTCTGTCTCAGCTTTACTCTAAATAAGTAGGAAGGGGCTACTAAGAGTAAGAGCATAGATTTGGGCCTGCATGTTTCCCTCACCTGGGTGACCCGGATGACACTGCAGCTGTGCAATCTGCTCTTAGTTGCCTGCCTGAAAATCTCCTTCCTTTGGGAAGTTTTCAAAACATAATCTCACTCCACCCTGTGCTCCGTGGCTCCCCAAATCCTGGAGTGATTGGGGAGAGTCCCCACACTGTGCATACTCCTTCTTTCAAAATTATATGCTTTTACTATATGGGTTTGTATTTAAGTATAATCAAATAGCCCTATATGACAAATAAAATTCTTCAGAGAAGTACTCAAGCTAAAATATGGATGAAACTATAAAATTAGTGGTTGCAAACTATAATAAAATAACATTCAGGATAAAATCTTTAGGTGAAAGGCTAGTGGGAATTTTATAATGAAGGAGTCAGTAATTGCTATCTGAATGCACCGGTCAAGTTCAGCAATACCGAACTTGGCTTGTTTCATTATTGCGGGCAATGTGAAGGTCACAGGACCAACTGTGAGATATTTGTGCCAAGGGAAGTTAAATTCTAATCTAACCAGAACTCCAGAACTAACTTACATTTATAAGAAAGAAAGTAGACAAATAAACCAGGTAAATATAACCACAAAAAGCAAAGAGATGAGTAAAGGGTATTTGATGAGCATATTGCTCAAGGCAGGATTTTCCTGGGAGTTAATAGAAGTGCTATTAAACTGTTGTGTGTATGTGTGTATGTGATGGGGCATAAAAAACTAGAATAGTTCCATGTAAACTGTAAAGTGTTATTACTTGGAATATGAATATTCTAAAGGACAACTGACCTGTCTTCCACAAATCAGTAGCATAGGAGAAAAAAGAAGGGGATTAATAGGTAAATGCAATGAGTAGATCTTGATTCCTAGTTTTGTGTATGTATTCTGTGTATTTGTTTTACAAAGAACATATAAAAAAAAACATGAAAATAAGCAGTGAAATTCAGTTATGCCCTGGGTATATAATCATACCAAGGAAGTAGTGATAATTTTATGAGGTGTTATAATGGCATTATAGTTTGTGAGAATATATTAGAGATAAGTACTAGACATTGGAGGAATGAAGTGGAGTCTTGGATTTGCTTTACTAAACTACAGCAATCAATTTTTGAAATGTACAGATAAATCAGTTATGGAAAATAACTGAAAATTGTTGAATCTGGATAGCAGATATGTAGATTTATCAGGCAATTCACACTACTTTTGCATATGCTTAAATATTTTCTTATAAAAGCCTCTGGTGTCACTCATATGTTCTAAGGAATGACAAGCCATTATCCCCTTTTGCCATGAACTTGGGGGTATACTGCACTCTTAGAAATAATGGGACCTCAAGGGACTATATCCTGGCATGTTTTTTGTATATCTCTATGTCCTTTTCATTCACTCCCAACACAACAAACCTAGGGCCATACTGTCCTTTCAACCAGTAAGAGTCTAAATACCTTACCTGAATTTGAATTCCAGCTCCAGCAATATGTGTGTGAAGAGTGTCACACATTTTTAAGCTTAAGATTCCTATAATATAAAAATAATAAAACGAATATACTGTAAGTTTGTGGGGAGTTTTACAGGTAATGGGTATAAAACACTCGTGCAGAGCTTGGCATACATCAGGTGATCTTTCCTCACTTCCCTTCCAGCAGAGTCATAACCAAGATATAGATTCTTCTGAGTCACACCAGTTAGTGAAAAAACAGCCACAGGACAAGTGGCTACCTGCTGATTTCAGATCACACGGATTTTATTGAAAATGCATTTATGTCTTCTGGCTTTTGATAGTACATCCTCAAGGTCAGTAAAGGTCAACAAGCTTGGTTCCTATCAAATTAGAAAGGATTACAACCTCTAGAGAATCATTCCTGTTTTTGCAATGGATTTTCATAAATACACATATATGCACACAATATTGAAGAATTCCAATATTGCAGTACAGCAGAGTAAAATTGCAAACAACTTAAACAATATCCCATCAACGTTTTTAACACTATCCATATCATTTTTAATCAAACTGAAACTTTAGATATAAATGATTAAAAACAACCTAGAAAGGGCACATATTTTGTTTCCATTCGAGTTTAAAATAAATGTTTTAAGTATCAATTCCATTTCTCCTAATTGATCAGAGGTGTAGGTTTCTCTTGCTGATGGTCTTCCCCCTCCTTTGCCTGGGCACCAAAAGCTGTTTCTTATTAACTTGGCATCACCAAGATAGATGCTATTCTCAGATGTGTCCCCAAAAGAAACTATTTCTAGGGTATTGTGTTATTTCTATAGCTGTTGTTATGGCTGAATCTCACACAGTCCCCATTACCTTCCTAAGAACCTTCCTGTGATAGCAATGTGGGCGAGGCACGTGTTTGCATGCAGTAGTTTTGTCAGCCCTCCCCATGCTCCATGGCAAGACCAGTCATTTGCTGCTGTTCAAGGAGAAACACTTACTTCCTCAGAACAACTAGGCTTGCAAATTCCTTACCCATTGTTAAATGAGCATGTTCAAACACGGTATCTTTTGAATGAACTTCAGACTCAAGATAAGCAGTCAAGGGTTTGATAAACTTTCTTTGACTTATCTAGCTTCATCTTCAACAATTCTTCTAGAGATAATCTTCACCCTAGCTTTACAGAATTACGTGTTCAGAGCCTTTTCAGAATTTCCTTTACGTGTTAATCTTTCCCCTATTTGTCCAGATAATGTTTACTTATCCTGTGCTATATGTGTCAAAAATCCTTCTTCCAGGAATTCTTCTGTATTAGTTTCCTGTGAATGTGGTAATAAACACTACAGACATGATGGCTTAAAATAACAGATTTATTCTCTTATGGTTCTGAAGGTCAGAGGTCTGAAGTCAGTATCACTGAGCCCAAGTTAGGTGTCAGCAGGGCCACACTCCCTCTGGAGGCCCTGAAAGGAGGTGGATTCCTTGTCTCTTCCAGTCCCTGGTAGCTGCCAGCATTCCTTGGTTTATGACCACATCACTCCAATTTTTATGGCTAATGCATCTCTCAATGTCTCTCTTTGCCCCATATTCATACTGCCTTCTCCTCTGTGTGTCTCCATGTCAAATATCCCTCTGTCTTGCTTATAAGATTACTTCCGATAATATTTAGGGCAAATGTGGATAATTCAGAATAATCTCTCCATCTAAAGATCCTAACTTAATCACACCTGCAAAACCCCAAATAAAGTAACATTTATAGGTTCTGGGGATTAGGACCTGGTATATTTGGAGGAACATTGTTTGTTCTTTTCCCCCAATAACTCTGCTTCCCAGTCTGGATTATGAACCTCTTCTCTGAATATTGATCTGAAATCCT